TCCAAGCCGCATTGGCTTTGGCAGTGCGAATTCTTCCACTCAGTGTGTTGATGGCATTGGTCTGCAACAAAATAGCCGTAGGATCCGACGGATCTGGAATGACTAGTTCCGGGCTAATCGTCAATTTCCCAGAGGGCGACGAGACAGCCTCAAAGATGCGACCACGTGCAAGGTTGGCGGCTTCTTGGCTCAGCCCCAGTGCCTGGGTGCTGCAATATAGGAAAAGAAGAGTTCTTGTGGTGATTGTGGCCATTGTTGGTGGGTCGAATGTTTGCGACAGAGTAAGTTGTGGGGGAGACAGAGCTTTCGTTGGTGGCAGTTTTGTGAACTGTGATGTGATGCAAGCACAATGACGTTTGCCTCTGACGCCAAAATGTTACCCCTCTCCCTAATCTCGTTTAGAGGGGCCCATGCCTGGCCAACCATACAGCCAACGGTACCTGGTATGGTACCTGGTACCAGGTACGGTACCACATGTACGGTGCCCTACAGTAGTCCAACCGTATGTCATACCAGTACCTACTCATACCTTCACGTAGCGGTTTGCATAGCCGTATCCGTTCCGGCACTTCATACACCGTATGTTAACCCTTCTCTTCTCTTCGGTTGGTCTGCTGGATCTTGGCTTTCTGGCTCCAGCCCCATGCAATTGCACTACGCTAAAAGCTAGTGTAAAGATCTTTCGAGTGTTTTGAGTTTGAGAGAATGAAAGTTATGAGAGGATTAGAAAGCTATGAAAACTAATCAACGAGAGAGATCCACAACCAAAGGATCGTAGATCTGAACTCCCGCGGGAGACTGCAGAGTGTGATAGAGTAGGTTGCGGTAGCAATCCTACTCACTCCACGATCCAAAAACGGAACGCGTGGAAGATTCGTCTAGCATTTATCTAGTAGCGTGGAAGTACTCCACGCTGGCTAAATATCTAGAGCGATGTTTCATCATCAACCTAGTATGACTAGAGCGGTCATTGAGAACCCTGTCTCAATGACTATTCACGAGAGACTCAGTCATGAGTCGAATCTAGGATCGAGTCGCGAATAAGGCTAAGAGCCGTGTATTGCATTTTGGCTGTTTCTTGAAGCGGGGAGATGGGCGTCGAATTTTCTCTTTGGGTACCCAGCCAACGTCTACTGTCTTCCCATCTCTCGTGACTCTTCTTCTTTTCCACAACTTGATATCATCCACGTATTTCATCGGAATCAGCCCCCATCGAACTTTGATAGCTTCACAAGCTAGTGCTGGTCTCTCCATGGAGTTGCCCCCAGTAATTGGCCCGAACAATGCCTTGGCAGTGTCGCTTTCAAGCCCATTCGCTACTTTCGTATTGTAGCATCTCGACAGAGGGGGGTTCCTCCCAGCCACTGGGACTTTTTTCAAATGTTTTGTCAGAAGGGTCCCTCTCCAAGGGACGAGCCCACTGTCAACACCAGGGGGGGCCTTACCATCTGGAAAAATCCGGTCGTGCGGGTAAAAGTATTCCTTCTTTGCAGCCTTTTTGGTGGGGGTATCGGACAGTTCAGCTGGCTCCTCATCTGTGTCTGGGTCAGAATCAGGGTCGGCTGCTGCAGAATCGGGGTTGGCCACAGCACTGGCACCTTTCGCTGGGAGGAAAAAAGATCACAAGCACCCCTCAGGCTCCTCTGATGCAGTTCGAGCCAAAATTAAAATCTGAATCAACAGTTGTGAACCTCTAACTGTTGTAAGACTGTCAGGCTTAAAATGTCTAAGTAACCACTGGTGCCTCCTCTCCGACAGTTAAGCCTCGACCCGGTGACTCTCACTAGGTCACTAGATTACCTAGTGATCGCGCTCTGAAAACTTCACTCCAATAGATACCTCAATCGAGTCGAGCTCACAACGTTCGAAGCAAAGGACACCCAAAGGACGCCCATGCCCTCCAAAGGACGCCCCACAAGATCCCTTGATTCCGTCCAGGTTGACTTCTACGCATCAGCCTCCAGGTCCTGCCAAGCCAAACACAACATTGTCGCCTCTAAGATTCAACCCTACCTATATGAACTGCAAACCGAACTCGGCTTACCCAAGTTAAACTACAATGACATAGGTGAAACTGGAGGTTCTTTCTCAGACAAGGACGAAGATGTAACAAAATGGTGGTATACTTTCTGGGAAGGCCAACCAGCCTTTTGGTTCAATCTCAAGAAAGCCTGCGGAGGCTCATACTCCACAGGCACCCTGGAACGCTACATGCCTGCCATTAAAAACCAATTGAAGAAAAAACTTATGCTGTCCCGCTACCTTAAAGTCATTGAAGAAACCTACGCATCTGCTTTCAAGTCCTTGAAAACCAAGGTCAAGGAGCAGAAAAAAGCCTCACCCCCACCCAAGAACAAAGTATACACCAGCGGGGACATTGCATTCATCCTGCAACGTTGCCTCTGGTTCAACCTTGAAGAGTACATTGACTTCTATATCTTCCAAACCGCCACACTCCGTCCTTGCAGCAGGGCAACCGAGACCTCTCGCCTCTCTGTGCAGGATCTTTCTATTAGAGAGCTTTATGAAGGATCCCTCAACAACATCCTTCAGTGTTATCTTGTACGTGATAAGATGGGGGCCGACAACAACCACCCTTTGATCCCCAACAAATACGATGTTTTTGGTGATCTTGTTGTTGCCATTGGCTTGGCCCTGTTCATCCGCAATGACAAAGCCCTCATGCCATCGATAGCCACCACCAGTGATGTATCAGCCCATTACGACGCTATTCTCAAGACCATCTGGAAGCGTTATCCTCCTGCAGAAAACGCTACTGTCCGAAAAGGCACGTCACACTTCGGCAAGCACACTGCTCAGTTCCTCCTTGATGGTAACAAACTCCATATTGCAGCAGAACTTTTTGGTGGATGGAATGAAGGGAAAATTTCAGGAGCTCGTGCCGCGTACTTCTCTAACCCTTTTCCCTACCTTCTTGATGGGGCAAAAGCCCTTGCAGCCTGGTCTAAGGTTGGCAGTGACTACCAACGCGTGACTATCCCGTCATATGACACCATCTCGAAAGACATGGGCGACAAAATCTGCTCAGTTTTCTTCGGCCATATCCCTGAAGATTCACTCTGCATCCAAGTGAAGCAAATGGTTCTAATGTGTGTCCTTTCCAAGTGGGATCAGCTATTAGACCAGATCCGTGCAGAACCCAATGGCATATTCACAGATCCAAAGAACCACATCATTGTTTCCACACTACACCAACGACTGTCACGAGCTGGACTTGAACTAGCTGAATTCAACACGTTCAAGTCGGCATGCCAAGAGTTGTTAACCAAGACCAACTTTATTGACACCGTTGTCCCAGTACCTTCTCCCGTCACCTCCTCCATTACCACGGCTGACTACACCCAGTCCCCATTTCAGTCTGAATTAAACATCCGGCCTATCAAGGCACTCCTTGATCTTGTTACAAGGAACACTGACCCCAAAGTTGTATTCATCAATTTCTTTGCCTGCAACTTCATGGAATCTTACAAGTCCACCCCCAAAGTTGACAACCGCATGAGATGCAAATACCGAAAGGTTAAGGCAGCCATCAGGGTCATGGTACGCTTCCTCGATAACTACCCCACCACCACCCCATCCATGGAAGATGCCAATGTCATGATGCAACGCATCAAGAGTGCACTGTTGAGCGAAGCTTCAAGCGTCAAAACCCAAGGTAAACACCCATTCAATGATACTACACCACTTCACCTTTCCATCATCCGCATGAATGAAGAGCTCCTGACAAACAAGTCCCAGCCCTGGTACCGCCCACTCCCGCCTAACACCCCATATTCATTCATTGAACACGTCTACTCTCACAAGATCTATCAGGTCTAACTGCAGGTCAAAGCCGCTCCAGCGAGATGCATACGACGAACAAATTGGAACATTGGTTCTTTGGTAGCTCTGTTTGGGTCTATGGTCGAAACGAACGGAACAAGTTCTGTGGATTACTTCTCTTTAATCAAAAGTTAACCACTTCGGTAGCAACACGTCAGGAAGGCACCAGGTTTCAGCGAGGATACACATGCAAAAAGCTTCAAAGTCGCGGTAGTCGCGATAGTCGCGATAGTCGTGGTAAATAGTCGTTGTTAAGTCGCGGTGCGCGACTATCGCGACTTTTATAGTTGTTCTATTGTCGCGGTGCATTACTAGAAGTAACACGGAGAAGTCGCGCTTAAGTCGCGGTGCGCGACTATCGCGACTTTTATAGTCGTTCTAAAGTCGCGGTGTGCGACTTTCACGACTTCCGCGACTTTCGCGACTACCGCGACTTTGAAAGATTTAAGCCGACTTCAAACGTAAACCTGGAGCCTTCCAGATCGTCTGCTGCTTTTTGCATCAATGGACGATCACCCTTGGTTGCATCGCCTGTGTTCTGACGCCTCCACCACCTACCTGGTAGGTTCCCTTTACAAGTAATATCTAAGTAATTATTTAGCTCTTAACTAAGTAAACCTACTCCACGCCGGTCGTGTTCAGTTTGTGCGCATTATTAATACTTGCTTTACTCCAAAAGAGCGCCCACCAGGCAGGATTTCAATACTCCGAGTATTTCAATCGACAGAGATCGCGTAAGTATGCCAGTCAGGAAGTCCCCCGATGACATCACTTTCGCGACTGGAAAGCCAAGTCGCGCTATTCGCGGTTTCTAAGTCGCAATTTTAAATCGCGACTTGAAGCCTTAAATCGCGACTTGAAGCACGACTTTCGCGACTAGCGCGACTTGGTGCGACTTTACTTGCTTTTTACTAGTAAAAAATCGCGACTTGGAACGACTTTAATCGCGACTTGCGCGACTTGATGCGACTTTAAGCGACTTGGAACGACTTAAATCGCGACTTGCACGACTTGCGCGACTTTAACGGCTTTTGCGACTTCCACGATCGCCAATCGGGGGACTTCCAGCACAACAACAACGCAGGGAGCAGGATCCAACAATATAAGTCAACGAGGCAAACAGCAACAGCAACCGCAACAGAACATTGACATAAACGATGGGGAATACTTGCCCGCAACCACTGCGTACTCCCTATGCAATGCCCAAGCCTAGCCCACTTGAGCCTAGCCCACTTGACCCATTTGGGGAAAGTCGAATCCGATTAACAAAGCAGATTTACCCCGCCCTGTCTGATGAGGACTTCAGTTGGATGAATCGCACAAGAGGATCGTTGGTTATTATGGGAGAAGACCAGGAGGATCTGGAGTCTCCAAATGCCAAGGTCCACCGGTTGAAGAACGAAGAGGCAGTACAAAAACTCATCAAGGGCCGACAATTGGTGAATACTACCGTGATTCGTTGGTACAATATCTATGCAGTCCCTGAGCATGATTTCTTATTCGACGGGTGTCACGATGTTGATCGCACTGCAGGTTGTGTCCGGGTTGTGCATCCGATCTTTGTTTCCATCAAGGGACGCCAGGGGGTCGTTCTGCAGTGCATTGTAGACACGGGAGCGCCTATTTCTATTTTTTATGATAGTTTGTACCAGGATGACCCTAACAACTCCACCGGCACGCAAACGATCGCGAATGAGATATACACAAGCCAACATGGCATATGCAGAGTTACAATCAACGAATCGACAGTGCCGAAAAAGTTTGCATTGGCCTTGGTCAACCGAAAGGTGAAAGGTTACGATGGAATCATCGGGTATGACCTCCTTTCATTTTGCCATATGACTGTGTATCGCGGAAAATCTCTGTTGGTGGTGTCAACGGAAGCGAATTGATTGCGCCTTTCTCCTTGAAGATGCGGGAGGCAGAGGATGTGTTTGAGGATTTATTTGATTGAAAAGGACAGAATTTTTTGAGTGAGGATACCACCCGAATCGAATCTATTGCTCTCAGCTTCCCGTTCTTTAAACCATGACACTACGCATTATATAAAACCATACAAGCGATTTCTGATTTCTTCTTTTCCTTTTATTTTTATTTTTGATGTATTGTATTGTATTGTACAATGGTCCGGCTTCCCAAATCGATAATACATGGCTGCAGCCCACCTCTGGTGCCCACCAGCCACCTCGATTGGAAGGTGGGCGTGCCGGCTTTTCTGCAATATCCGATGGTTAAGCTTTGCTACAGGTGCACGCGACGGATGGCAGCCAGAGAGAGAGAAGCAACAAGTAGAGCGATGATGATCGGAGCACATCCAATCACGCGCCAACAACACGAGGTTCCAAACACTCTATTCACTAGGTTGTTTCAGTAAACGACATGAGCTAAATCTGATGGATCTGAAGCCAATTCAGCGGAATTCGCTCCAAGTCAATTCAGTGGGAATTCGATCGAAGTCAATTCACTAGCTAGGTTTAGCCACACTAGCAAGTCAGTGTGAACGATCGATCGCTCCTCAAGCTAGCTAGCTAGCTAGCTAGCTAGCTAGCTAGCTAGCTAGCTAGTAGCACTTTTACTGACTTGCTTCGATAACTTCATCGCGGACAAGTGCATCGCCGATCCAAGGTCCCAGTGCATCTCCCGCCATGGGTCCCAGGATCCGTTAATTACTCCAACTACACAGAAAACTTTGGGAGCCGGGGTGAGCCTACCTATTATTACCTCACCTCGGTCCCAGGTCCCAACTACTGTTTTTGCTATAGTAAAATGGCTAGTTGGGACGGACATTAATTTTTCAAAATTAGTTGAAGTACTGAAATTTACATAGTAGTGGGACAGCCTTTAATTTAAGATTCCCCGTCCTCAAAAAAGAATTAAACACAGCCTTGCGGCGACTGAGCGTATCATCCCCAGCACCAACCTACATGATACTTGACCGGGAGCTCCACAGCCTCTAGCTAGCTAGCCTCAACAAGAGAGCCTTCCGAATCCAAAACAGACCACAAGGCGAAAAATCAATTGACGACGATCCAAGGTATCGACGACCGGAACTCGACCTACAAGGCTTCCGCCTGGTTGAAACCCAACCAGAGGGCTTCTATGTTACTATAGAAGAGGCTGATAACCAAGAACAAGCAAACGAAAGGACGAAACAGAAGATCAGCAGTACCCTCTGCTGACAGGAGTGAATGGGTGTGCCGCGGCCAACCCACCGGTCACATCGCATTCACATCGTCGCAGAGCTGAAGAGCCCATTTTCGAAGAAGGAGATGAACTTTCACGGTACAATGGAGTTGTAGTCCCGGCTTTCCACAGCAACAAATCCCCTGCTACGGGTGGTTGCAGCTGCCGACGGCCGACGAAATGCAACAACAACGATCGGATCGATCGTCCTCTACGGCTCGCCCCTCTATTGTACGACGGCCGCAGCTCAGCAGCTCAATCCTTCATGACAGCAGCGCCACGAAGGTGCAGTTGTGCTGGCTGACAGCAGAAGGAACAACAGCAGCAGCAAGCAGAAACCGTTCCCAGCATTTGAGTAACACAGGATGAACCGACCAACACAGAAGCAGGACGCAAGAAGATAAGACCAAAGCATCCACCGACCCGGAGGAGAGACTGTTGCAAGGCAATGGCAAGCAGGTGACGCGACAATCGAACGAACGATATCCCTCCGTTCTCGTGTTGCTGTTGCTGTAGTCTGCTAGCTAGGTCGCTTTGTTATCCGTCTTGGAACGATTCGATTCGTTGGAAAATTTCGTCTGGCCCCTGCCGGCTTTCTCCCCATAGAGACCTAATCTACCACTAGCTAGTACTAATCACCATTCGTTCACCTAGGAGGTCTCCAGCAAGACAGCAAAGCTGTATAACATAAAGACAATTTGCTTCCAGGTCGCAGACCCGACCCCCACCAAAGGGGGGGGGGAGATTATTAAAGGCAAATTGTCACGCCTCGTAGAGGCTGGTACAATTCTTACGCGGAAGTGTTACAATATGCTGTCACTTTGTGACAACCATCCTTGTCACTTGTCACACACAAGTTGTCACCCTACACGACAGCACACACACTTCACGCGTCCCCGATCGTTGCAACCTTGCCCTCAGTTGCAACCTACAAACTAGCCCAGCGGCGACTGAGCGTCCCAATAGCCTCGCGGCGATTGAGCGACCTACAAACAGCCTCGCGGCAACTGAGCGACCTACAACCTTGCAAAGCCATGACACCGCCCACTGACGTCAGTCGAGCCCAGCGTTCCGAGTATCCGGAAGGTTAAGGTTAGAGAACAAATATCGACTCTAGCTAGCAGCCATGCCTGAGCCCTTCAGTCTAGAACGACTGTTGCAGCTTAGAACCCCCCCCCCATCCTGAACCTCATTTGCCCGTCACACTGTCACGTCATTGTCGTCTCATAAAGCATTCAACCCATAGCAATGAACAATGATCAACCCACTCCTGCTGACCCAATCGTCGCTAATCGAGATGTCGTCAATGATAGAAACAACACAATTGAAGGAAATGAAGAAAAGCTTGACCATGATGATCAATCATCACAACCACTGCCGCCGTCACCGCATCCGCATCCCAAAGGAGATGCGATCCTTAGAGAAACATTGACACCAAACCCTACCTCTGCTCTCGCAAATCCTCAAGGAACGAAATTCAACAACAAAGGGCAACACCGCCATTGGTGTCTCACCTTCAACAATTACACAGCAAGTGACTACGAACAAATTGAATCAGCCCTAAAGACTGATGAATCCATGATCGTTAGCGCCATCATAGCCAAAGAAGTAGGTGAAAGCGGTACACCCCATCTTCAAGGCTATGTTCATTTCAAGACAGTTAAGCGTCAGCAAGGTGTCTTCAAGTTCTTTGGATATAACTGCGCAGCCTTCCATCTCGTCCCCCATGATATGCAAAAAGCCCCTCCACTTGCTTCTTTCCGTTACTGCATGAAAGACAATAACTACTATATTGTAGGCAAAAACCTAGACGAGATTGCACGTCTAAAACAGAAAACAAAAGCAGGAACAAAGCGTGAAAGTGATGAGTACTGTGATCTTACAAAGAAGATAGAAAAAGGCGAGATAGTCCACATGAGCCAAGTTCGTGCATACTCTGCTGAAATTGCTGCAAGACATGAAGAGTATTGGAAAGGTTTAATCGTTCAACACATGCCACGAGTTCCAGTTGTTGAACATGAACTCCGCCCTTGGCAAAACTCCCTAACAGAGAAACTCCAGGAGCCTTTCAATGACCGTGAAGTGATTTTTGTTATCGATCCAATCGGCAATTGCGGAAAGACATGGTACACCAACTACTATCAAGAGAAGTTTGGTAAGACCATTCAAGTAGGAGCAGACAAACGCGAAAACCTATCCTACGAAGTTATAAACCTTGTAATCGAAGAAGGCACCCCAAACATAATCTTCATGGACGCCCCACGGTCCAGAAGCATGTACGTGTCTAGTGCCTGGTTGGAAGAGACAAAGAATGGTGTGATAAAATCACCCAAATACAAGAGTAAGAAGCTTTCCTTACACACATCCCTCATGTAGTTGTGATGATGAACGAGTATCCCCAAAAGAACCCAAATGATTTAGGTCTGTCAAATGACCGATACACATACCTGATAATTGATAGCTCAGGTGAAAATGGCAAATGGCACCATGGATACATTGACCCAACCATTGAACCAGCTTATGAAACCATTCAAGCAACAATTCAATCAAAAATCCCAAATACACTCCAAGACGCCTTCAACAAGGCATATGCATCCCATCATACAGAACCAAAAAACCTCCAAAAAGCCCTAAGCAAAGCAGTGGAAACCTGGGCAAACAAGACAACAACAACACCCGCCGACAAATACATCAGCAGTGTCATGGAAAGACCAACTAGCCGAACCTTCAAAAACCACCTCTCAAGCCAACCAATGCAGCATTATGTTCAACAAATCAATCCTCATTAAGTCCTAACCCTCGTTAAGTCCTAACCACTATAATCTCATAAATAATAATGCTACAATGTTCCCAATCGGTGATAACAGAATGTCATTCCCTCTAACAAGGAGACCCGAATACTCTCCAAGAACTCCAAGGAAGAGAACTTCAAGAGAAAAAAGCCCAAAATGGTTAAGAGAATGGATCAAAACCGAACCCATCCTAAAATATCTTAAATCCTCTAGTCCTCGTACCAACGTGCATTGTACCCTCGACCATACCCGTAGTCTCGACTGTAGTAGCCACCGCGACCATACCTATTAGGTCTGTAACCATAGCCACCTCTAGCACCATAACCATACCTGCCTGGTGGATACCACGGCTCCGATTGCCCCTCTACATCTAACCCTTGACGAGACTCTTCAGGTCTCTTTGTCCTAGCTCTCTTAGCAGGCCTCTCTTCTTTCTCTTCATTCCCAGCTTCCACTTTCTTAGCCTTCTCATCCTCTTTCTGAGCAGGCTTGTCTTCCTCCCTCTCATCCTCTGTCTCAGCTTCAGCATCTTCATCGGAAACCCTCTTAGTATTAGGAACAGTCTCCTCACCATCCAAGGAAGCTAGAGCTCTCTCCACCATTCCCTCTAAAATAGAATTCTCATCAGTTGTCATTGTTTTTTCCCTACTTTCAAAAATGTGGGTAGTAACCAGTCTTTATGCCACACTCTCAGATTACACAACAATGGTGGAGTTCATGCGAAGAGAGTTTGTCACTGAAGCATTTGTTGTGTACAGCCATAGGAGAAGCCACCTGCAGCTATGCTGTCTAATCGACGAAGACGAAGAAGTCAACAACGCCTCATATTGGTTTCCAAACTACACTATGCAAGAATTCGATGATGACATTACCGAGTTAGACCAACCCCTCTCCATCGAGGGTTGCCTGCTAGTCAG